AACACCAATGATATTATCGAAATATCAGTATACTCGTATAAATCAAAGAATAATGAAGTTATCGGAATAAAACTTTGTACAAATAGTGCAGTTACACGTTCTCGATTTGGTTTCCGGTTCTCTGATTGACATTTTCCTAATATAGCCAATATATTAAGTTCAGCTCTTTTTGTTCAGTATACTTATATGTAAATAATAAAACTATAATATTATATAAGTTCGCCGAATAATGAATAATTCGGTTATATATGGACTTACTTTCTTACTTGTGTTGATAGAGCTTTTGTTTTGTCTCCAAATATTTGATATTTTATTAACATTTTCGGTAGTAATTTTTTTGTACTAACGCGGTTGGACAAACAATTCTAAGACAGCAGCAAATATTTTCTATTTTAAAAGTACCGCTTTTGTTAACTTTTTTATGTTTTATTACCACATCGGAGCTTTAGATGTGCATACAACCAAAAATACTTGTGGTGTTGGTATGTATTCGTAGGTACATAGTATTGTACATACTTATGTAAAACCTTGTTCCCATCGTTCCCTTGTAACTCTTTCAAATAAAAGTACTTACTTACATACCTACAAACATAAGTACATAAAAAATAAAATGTAAGATTATCTAGTAGTTTCACGTGTGTGAATGTGGACCCTCTTCACCGATGTAGATTAACTATAATAAATTATTGTTTTGTGAATAGAAAACAATAACTGAGAGTATAGGCACTTGAAAGTCTAGTCCAGGAGAAACAAATATGGTAGTGTTTTAATGTTATATTATATTATATTATATGAAATAATTCTCATGCAATAAAGTGCTGTTGTCTTTATATAAGTACATACATATAACAATATCTACTAAATTACGGCACAACTGTTCCCACTTTATGCACCCTTCTCGACGTAACCGATTCGAAGAGCCCGACCCCAGCAGCATAATTTACCATTGAAGTCGCAAAAGATAAACGCGCTAGTAAATAAACAGTTTGTATATTGTGCAGGCATATGTAAGTATGTTTGTAAGTAAGTAGAACCCATTGCAATCGTTTTAGTGTGTTGCGTGACACGAGGGCTCATAACATACATATCTTACGCAAGGCTGGCGCAACGTCGCACAGTGAGGCTTAGTGAATATTTACAGAGATTTACGCTGTGCGTCCTTTATATTTACAATTCATATTATATGAACATATGTACAATATGTAGGTATGTATGTATGGTAACGTATTTTAACCGTGTCGCCTCACTACAAAATTACAGGAAATATACACATTAAAGCATTGAAATCAAGTAAATTATACATACATATGTACATATGCATGTATATTATTTTCTCCCCTAATAATACTAATGGCACATATTGACTACATAAATGTGCTCTGTAGTTGGGTGATTATTCCGAGTAGTGAATATTTTATGAGCAAAGCCACAATTATTTATTTATGTCATATGTACATAGTGTATGTATGTAAATATACTTGTATGTATTTAATTGGCAACATATCTTGTATATATGCATATATGTATGTATACATTTGTATTTTAATAATTTGCACTTGTACAGGCCTATGTATATCCAGTAAACTGACATAAAAATAGGTTCGATTCAAAATAGAACCAGTCATTCTACGATGTTCTGTGGAAACTCACTCGCAGCAAACCAAAACATTTTTCAGCAAGGTACAAAATGATTGGTATAATATAACCTTGTGTGCGAGCATCCACAGGTCATGTCGTCCAATTCATCCATTTATAATCATCATCAACCCTCGCCTTTTTGTTTATTTGGTAGAATTCTCGTTGCGAACCGCAAAGGAATTCGAAACAAACAAAACCTCATAGTGCACTTTTACACAGGGACTCTTTTGAGTCTCAAACCAGTTTATTGTGGGCGAGGGGACGACGAGGAAAGACGAAGGGACCGTGCCAC